TGCAAAATACTTTGCTGACTGCATTATTTTTCAATCACACAACAACCACAGTATATGTGTTTAGTTATTGTCCTTCCATACTATTGAAACCTTCAAGGCCAAGGAAGTATGTCACTTCCCACTGGTTTACATAACAATGCCAGTACAGAGCACATATTTTACAAGTGTTTATTAAATGAATACATGACAGGTATTTTAGGAATAGTTAAACTTCTAACTACAGAAATCTTTATTTCTTAAATAAAACTAAGGTAAAAAGCTCTCAGTTTCCTGGAGTACTTATTTGTTCATACATGTTACATTGTAGCAAAAATAAAGAAACATATAATCATGAAAATAATTATTTTCATTGTTACTGGATTCTGAGTTTGAAATACACTTTGGTTGTGGAGAAATAATTCATCCTGCTAATGTCATCACTCTATAAAACAAACAAATTAGTGGTATTTTTAATTTTTTCAGTAACTTTCAAGTATCCTCAAATAATACTTAAAATAAAGATAGTCATATGCAATTAATTACTCTGCAGAAAATGCAACTGATTAGAAAAAATATTCTAAATCCACAGGAACAGATAGTTTAATAATAAAAGGCAAAATATTTATACATTGGTTAGAGTCATGGTGTTCATAAAGAATGATAGATTAGATTAGAGACATTTCTAGGAAAATGGGTGCATCTTGAAAACATAATGTTAAGTGAAATAAACCAGACACACAAGGGCCAGGGATTTAGCTCAGTGGTTCTGGCGCCTGCCTCACAAGCACAAGGTCGTGAGTTCAATCCCCAGCACCAAAAAAAACCCCAAAAAACAGACACAGGAACTTAAATAAAATATGGTTTCTCTCATGAGAAACCCCAAGTACAAATAAAGTAAAAAGCAAAACGGAGAACTGACAATAGCAAACAGACAGATCTTTCACAGATAGGAAGGGACTAAGAGTCCCAAAGTGAGGCAAGGGGGGTGGGGAATGGGACAGAAAGGATTTTTGTTATGTACATGCACCAATTACCCACAATGAATGTAAATAAAGATAAACTAAAAATATATAAATGGTGGAGGGGACCTAGAGAATGGGGAGAGGAAGAGTAATAGAAAGAATCAAGATACACTAAGTACATGTACCTACTCCCTAAGATGAATGTAAACATCTTGTACTACAAACATGTATTAAAAAACAGAGAGAGACAGACAGAGAGACAGAGAGACAGAGAGAAAGACAGAAATATTATACATGAGGGCCCATGATTTAGCTCAGTGGCACTGCGGCTGTCTGGCAAGTGCAAGGTCCTGGAGTTCTATCCCCAGTATCAAAAAAAAAAGAAATACTATACATGAAATAGGACCACCTTAAATGTTTTAGTGGCCCAATTTCAGAACCCATGGATCACAGAATATTAATAATATGCTACTTCTGGACACACTGAAATATTTCAGGCCACCAAATTAATGGCAGGGTTAAATATTGCAAGAACTTATATTTAACCTGTTTTGGTTTTGAATAAAGCTTAAAAAGAAGAGAAACGGTGTGTGTGGGAGTCTGACAGCCCTGGGTTTAAACTCTGTTTTGTTACTTGCATTTGAGTGGTTTGGGGATAGCTATTTAACCTGTCTTGAGTCTAGTTTACCTCATTTATGTAAAGGGGATAGCAATCCTGTTTCCCAGGATTTCTGTAGTAAGGGTTTCAAATATGAGAGATATTTTTTGAAATGAATACATTATCTCTATAAATGAGACAGTCCTGCATTCTATCTAAATGTGTAGGAAAGGATTAGCTGTTACAAGAGTAATATGAAAAGATCAAAGCTCAGCCTTTGACTACTGAAACAAGAATGCTAAGCAAGACAATGGATTTCCTAGCAAGACAACCAGGTGAAAACCAAATGTGAAAAGAGAATTTTCTGAATTCTTATCATTGGTTAATTGATTCCTTCATATTCCCTTTAAACACAGGCTGTGCAAATAGTATTTTCTTACCTTCAAATGAACTTTCAGGGGGATTTCTTTTTAACAATGCTTTTCTGGTATTCTCTTATAATAAATTATTATTTTCAGGCAATAAAAAGCCTCACGAAAGATTTTCAGAAGGACTGTATAGCATATTATGAAATTTTTAAAATAACTGAATCCTCAAAGAATTTAAAGGAACTTATAAAAAATTTATACAAGTTGAAAAAAAAGTTAGAAAAGACACCATCAAGACGATAGAAAGACAACCACAGAATGGGAGAAAGTATTTACAGATCACATTACTGATGAGGGCCTGAGCCAGTTAATCTTGTCAGCTTGGCTGGATTAGAAGTCGCCTGGAGGGTTGACTAGATCATCAGGGAGCTGTATTTATCAGTAGATTAATTTACTGGTATTCATAGCTGAATAAGGTAGGGTTCAGTTGGAGGTGAGTCACAGGGGGCATGCATCTGGAGGACCATATATCTCTTCTGGCACTTCCGTTGTGCTGCTTCCTAACCACCATGAGATGAGTAACTTTGCTCCCCTACACCATTCTCCCATGATGCTCCTCCCTTGGATTCAGCTGACCACGGACTGACATAACTGAAACAGTGTGCCAAATTAAACCTATCTTCCCCCAATCTGTAGGTGTCTCAGCAACTGGACAGATGACTGATACAAGGACTTATATCTAGAATATATAAAGAACTCTTAAAAGACAAATAACCAAATTTTAAAATGACCAAAGGATGTGAACAAACATTTCAACACAGAAGATATACAAATGGCTGATAAGGACATGAAAAGATGGTCAATGTCATTAACCATTAGGGAAATGCAAATCAAAACTGTGAGGTATCACTTCACATCCATGATGTGGACGGCTATAATCAAAAGAAACAGTGACAAATGTTAACTTGAATATGGAGAAACTGGAACCCTCATATGTTGGTGCTTTGGAAAATAGTTTGCTCAGCAGTTTCTTAAAATATGAGATACAGAGTTATCATCAGCAATCCATGCCTGCATATAAGATGTAATAGGAAAATATGATGCAAAAATTATAAAAAATTTTTACAGTAAAACACATATTGCCGTTAATCCCATTCAAAATATTCTCCCTCACTTTGAACACACTTATTCCATCGTTCTTGCCGCTTTATGAAGCAATTCTGGAAATCTTTTTTCATGAGTGTCTTTCGCTGTAGTACTATTATGGCTGCCTTGATGTCCTGAATTGATTCAAAACATACACCTTTGATGGCAATTTTGACTTTGAGAAAAAGCAAAAAGTTCCAGTGTCAGATCCGGTGGGTAAGGTGAACACTGAAAACAATGAAATGTTTTTACCAGCCTTCTTTTCCAGTGGATGGCAGTCAGCAGCAGCAATCACTGTATTTTTGATTATTCCTTATAAATACATGACAATGGACTTCCAGAACTGCTTCAGAAAGCTTCAGAAAGTGACAAAAGATGGAAAGATGATGAAGTAAAAGTGGGAAGGAAACCACAGCCTCTCCGGCACCTGGAATTGAGGCATCTGGAAAACAACAATTTAGTGAAGAGAAAGAAAAGTATAGCTCTGGAAATTAAGAAAGAGCAGGGCTGGGGATGTAGCTCAGCAGCACAGTGCCTGTCTGGCAAGCATGAGGTCCTGAATTCGATCCCTTGCACCAAAAAAAAAAAAGAAAAGAAAAAGCAGACAGGAAAACTGTCAATCACAAAGAAACTGAAGACAACACAGAGAAAAGAATGAAACAGTCTGGAGCACTAACCCCACATGGGAGGGAGACCTATCTCCATAAACACAAGGTAAGCCCAGAGACAGGCAGGAGCACCAGTGATTATGGACTGACAAAGCTAACCTCAAGAAAAGCCCCAGATCTGGGGTTTTAGCTCAGTGGTTCCACAGCCTGCCTTGCAAGCACAAGGTCCCAAGTTTGATCCCTGGTACCAAAAAAAAAAAAAAGCCCAGTTATTGTTAGGTTGCAAATACAGTGTGGGGACTCCTTCCCAAGTCCATTACCACACCTGTCACGTTTGGGAATGATATGATCAGGAGCCATTTTGAAAAGGGATTTATTAAGACTGAGCTACTTTGGGGGGCCGGGGATTTAGCTCAGTGGTTCCGCCGCCTGCCCCGCAAGCACAAGGACCCAAGTTCGATCCCTGGTACCAAAAAACCAAAAAAAAACAAAAAGAAAACACTGAGCTACTTTGGGAATCAGAAGAGACAAAACCACACTTCTGGGTTTTGGGTTACTCTACTACAGTGACTGGATTGGAGATAGCTACAAGAGACAGTTGTAGAGACCTCCTAAGAAGTTTAAGCATTGATAGAATCAATTCATGGTCTATAACCTTGAGGAATATTCTTTCCCTACACTGGCAAGGTACTTCCTGGGGTTATTCTTTATGGCAGCCTGGTGTACAAACACATCTTCCTTGGTATCATTCCTGCTGATGAAGCCATATCCATTTTTATATTGAACCATTTTGTTATTCCCGAAACCTTCCTTGTGATGACTTCCTCATCCCCACTAGCAGGTGCTGTTGTTATGAGGCTGCCTGCACTGCCCTTTGCCAGGCCTGATGTAAGTAGGTGGCTGCTAGGTCTTGCCTTGCCTGTGGCAGATGCGGCTTCTCCCAGGGCGTGATGGTAACTAGGCAGGTGACTTGAGGCTCTCTGGAGTTCACTTTCCACTCTTATTACCAGTTTAACTACCAATATTAATACCTTGGTTCTGATCACCGTACTTAGGTTATGTCAGATAACATTAGGGAAAGCTGGGTGAAAGGTATAGGAGAAACTTCTGTAGTATTTTTGTAATTTTTCTGTAAGTTTGAAATTAGTTCAAAATTAAGTCATAAAAATGTAATCCATATGTACTTGGACTACTATTAGATAATATTTGTAGCCAAAGGCAATCCCAGTTGAAAAACTTAGCTCAGAAATCATGCAAGAGAAAAAATACTTTGTTTTTCCAACATAGGTGAGAGATTTTTTTCTCCCACGCCATGAGAAAAATGAATGTTAAAACTCACCCAAAATTGCAGAGAGGTTTGAAAACTCTGGTGCCTTCTCTACGGCCACTGCTTTACTGCTGTCCAGGAGAGTAGAATTCTTGCACTGCACGTGTTCTGTCAATTTGGGACACTCCCAATCTAAAAGAGCAGGGGCGAGAGAAATGGCAAAAACTTTAAAGAGCCTATAAACAGCAGGTTACCTTTTCCCCCTTTAATTAGGGCCCCAGCCCATACCAAACTATAGTAATTGAAAATTTTGGATGCAACAGAACAAAAAGACAAGATAAGATGGCACCAAGATAAGAATCTATAGCCTATTCCAGTTCTTTATCCTTGATTTCCTTCCTACATTTTCACTCCAATAAGATTACTGATCTACTGAGCATTGAGTGTAACTGCAATCCTAGCACTCTGGGAAGCTGAGTCAGGAGGACTGAAAGTTTAACCCTAGCCTGGGCAACTTAGCAAGATCCTGTCTCAAAAAAAAAAAAAAAAAAAGTTCTGGGGATACAGCTCAGCTCAGTGTAAAGGCCCTGAGTTAAATCCCCAGTACCCCGAAAGAAGAAAGAAGACGACAATGACTGATACCGATCTAAGGGACAGACAGCATATATGCAACTGTAGACGCTTATCTTTTATGCTGTGCTATACTTCTACATCCCATTAAGGATCACATCACTAAGTAACACACTTCCACTGGTGTTACTTGATAATGGTTTCAAGCTTTCCACTGACTCTCCATTTTTCTTACTTATACCTCCTTATCCCCACCTTTCCCACTACTCCCACTAGCTCCAATATGTTATATCACATATTTAGCTGGATCAATATTCAATGCAGATATTATGATAAGTATTATTAAAACATTATTTATACTTATGATAGACCATGACCACCTTCTGTTTTTCCTGGAGTCTTTTCTTCCTCTATTGGTTTAGTTTTCTATGTATTTTTCATCTATTTAATCTTAAACTCTACCAAATTGTGTAATTCATTCGTTTACCCCATTCCTTTGGTGTTCTGAAGTTTCATAATATTGTACCTTGTCTCATACTGTGCACTAGGTACACTGTGGTTGTTTTAACCCAGAACTACATGTTCTGTAGCTCCATGCTCTTGAATTATTTGTTATTTTTTTCTCTTTTTTAATTAACTTTCCCTGAACTCCTATTATCTGATGCTGGACTGCATATACTTTTCCTCTCAACATATTTTTCTCTTCCAAATTTCTTTTTTCATTAGTTTTCTTCTTTTAAAATTTGTATTCTTTTTTCTGGGAAATTTCAACTTTCCTAATCCTTTCACTCAGTTTTCCATTCTGCTATTGTATTTAATTATTGGAATATTCTCTGGTTTGTAGCATCCTATTCCTAATTAACACACTACATGTTTCCTTATTTCAGTGAAGGCTTTTAAAAAATATTTTCCTCTACTTTTGTCATTTCTATTCTTGTTTTTAAATGGATTTTACCATAGGTAGAGCACTTAACATCTACTTTTGAAGCACATTTTTAACAATACATTACTATTCACTATAGGTACAGCGTTCCATAGCAGATCTCCAGAACTTGGTCATCTCATGTAACTGAAACTCAATGCTTGCTGAATAGCAACATGCTGTGGTGTAGACCCAGAATGCCCTAAAAAGGCACATATGTTCAGAAGCGGGGCTTTTGGAAGGTGACTGGATTATGGGGACGCTAGAGCTGACTTATGTTAGGAGGTAGAGCCTGGTTGAAGGTGGGTCACTAAGGGCATGACCCAGAAGGATGTATTTCCCCGCCTCCATCTTTTCCTCTGCTTTCTGCTTCTGGGCTCCCGTGTGAGCAGCTTTCCCATGCTGGGTGCTCCCACCATGCTGTTTCTGACTTGAAGCTAGCTGTCTATGGACTCAAGAGTGTGAACCAAAATAAACTTCTGCTTCCTTAAGCTACTGGGTGTTGAGTGTTGTGTCTCAGCATGGGGAAAGTACAGTGTACCCTCAAGTTATGACTGGCCTGACATACGAACAACTTGGACTAATTAGGTTAATGGAAGACACATCTGCCTCTTGTTATCTACAGAGTGTACCCAGGTAAACATCCAGATCTGAGCTGTACTGACTCACAACCAACTTCAGTTACAACCAGCCCTTGGAACCAATCAGGTTCATAAGTTAAGGGTCCTCTGTAACTAAGACACAACTTATTTTCCCCTCCCACCAGCTCCAGTCAACCACTATTCTATTATCTGCTTCTATGATTTTGACAATTTTAGATAATTCAAGTAAGTGGAATTATACAGTATTTGACCTTCTGTAACTATATTATTCCACCAAGCATAATGTCTTTAAGGTTTATCCATGTTGTCACAAACGGCAAGATTTCTTTTTTCAAAAAATTGAATAAAATTCCATTTATGTTTATATCCCAGTTCCTTTATTTATTCATCTGTTCATATACCTTCAGGTTGTTTCCTTATCTTGGCCATTGTGGATAATGCTGTAATGAATGTGAAAGTGGCATTTCTTTGAAATCCTGACTTTATTTTGAATAAATAATAAGGGGATTGCTCAATCATATAGTTATTTTATTTTTAATTTTTAGAAAACTTCATTTCTGGGCTGGAGATTTAGCTCAGGGGTGCTTCCACCTGCCTCGCAAGTGCAAGGTCCCAAGTTCGATCCCTGGTACCAAAAAAAAAAAAGAACAAGAACTTCATTTTTCATAGCTGCTGCACAATTTACATTCCTGCCAACAGTAAACAAGGGTTATAGTTTATCCACATGCTTGCTGATACTTGTCCTATTTTTATTTTGTTTTTTGATAGTAATCATTTTAACATGTGTGAGGGGTTATCTCACTGTAGTGTTTTTTTTTGTTAACAGGGATCGAATTCAAGATCTTGCGCTTGTGAGGCAGGCAGTGGCACCACTGAGCTAAATCTCAGGCCCTCTATTCTGTTCTATTGGCGTATGTCTGTGCCATACTGTTTTGAGGACAGAATGACAGTAACATAGTGTTTCAATTACTATAGCTTTGCAATTTTTTTTTCTTTTTTGTTTGTTGTTTTTTTGGTACCAGGGATCAAACTCAGGACCTTGCACTTGTAAGGCAGGCACAGTGCCACTGAGCAAATCCCCAGCCTCTTTGCAATACATTTTGAAATCAAGAAGTGCAGTGCTCCTGGCTTTGTCCTTTCTCACGACTGTTTTGGCTACCTGGGGTCTGATGATCACCATCCATTTTCCTATAAATGACAAAATTTCATTCTTCTCTATGGCTGAATAATCCTTCACTGCATTAAATATACATTTTCTTTATCCATTCACCTGTTGAAGGGAACTTAGGCTGGTTTCCTACCTTGGCTATTATGAATTGTGCTGCATGAATAGCAGGTATCTACAGTATGCTGACTTTAATTCCTTTTTCTTTTTAAAAATTAATTTTATTGGTACATCTTAGGTACACAATATGATGGCATTCATCATTGGAAATTTGTACCTTTACATACTATATCTCGGTTCTTATTTTCTGACTTTAATTCCTTATAGTATATACCAAGGAATAGTATAACTGAGTCAATAGTATAACTGGTAGCTCTATTTTCAGTTTGTTTTGTTTTTCATTTTTGGGGGATAACAGGGATCGAACTTAGGACCTTGCACTTGTGAGGCAGGTGCAGTGCCACTGAGCTAAATCCCCAGCCCTATTTTCAGTTTTTTGAGGAACCTCCATGCTGATTTCCATAGGGTCTATACTAATTTATATTCCCACCACCAGTGTGGAAGGGTTCCTTTTCCCCTGCATCCCTGCCACCATTTACTGTTTTTTGTATTCTTGCTGACAGCCATTCTGACAGGGATGAGATGGAACCACACTGTAGTTTTGATTTGGACTTTTTTTTTTTATGTACTCAGTGGCCATTTGTACTTCCTTTGAGAAGTGTCTGTTCAATTCATTTGCTGATTTATTCATTGGCTAGTTGATTTTTTGGTGTTACCTTTTTTAGTTCTCTGTATATTCTAGATATTAATCCTCTGATATAAGAGTAGCTGGCAAAGATTTTCTCCCATTTTGTAGGCTGTCCCTTTACTCTGTTGTTACCTTTCATGCAGAAACTTTTTATTTTTACTTTGCAGAAACTTTTTAAATTGCTGTAGTCTGATTTATTAAGATTCTTGCTATTATTTCTTACGTTATTGGAGTTCTATTGAGGAAGTCTTTGCCTGTGCCCGAGGTTTTTTTTTAAACAGTCACTTACTGCTATAAAATTCCCTTATATTGTTTTTGCTGAGTCCCATGATTTATTATGTTTTATTTATATCTTAAGATATTTTTAACTTACCTTTTCATTTCTTCGACTCACTGGTTTTTGTTTTTGTTTTTTGTTTTGTTTTGTTTCGTACCAGGGATCAAACTCAGGACCTTGTACTTGCAAGGCAGGCACTGTGCCACTGAGCGAAATCCTCAGCCTTGACTCACTGGTTTTTCAAGAGTGGGTTAACTTCCACATATTTGTGAATTTTCTAGTATTCCTTCTGCTATTGATTTCTAGTTTCATTCGGTACTGGTCTGAAAAGATACTTGAAATGATTTAAATCTTAAATTTTTAAAGACTTGTTTTGTAACCCAACATGTGATCCACCCTGGACAGTTCTATGTATGTGAGAATAATGTGTATTCTGTTGCTATTAGGTAGAATGCTCTGCATGTCTATTATATCCATTTGATCTAGTGTTGCTGAAGTTTGCCATTTCTTTTCTGATTGTATGTTCTATTCACTGTCGAAAGTGGGCACTGAAGGCTCACAACATTATTGTATTGGTGTCTACTTTTCCCTCCAGTTCTGTCCATTTTTATTTAATATATTTAGGTGCCTTGATGTCGGGTGCATATATACAATTGTTTTATCTTCTATCATTATTTTGACCCTTTATCATTATACCTTATAAGATACTTTCAGTATCTCTTGTGAATTTTTAAAGTCTACTTTGTAGCTCTTTTGTCACTCTTCTTCTGTTGCTGTATTTATTTGTATTTCACTGATTTGGGCAGTACTGATAAGTTTTGATACCTCTTTCTTTTCCATTTGTGTATATTCTGTACATATTTTCTTAGTGGTAACAATGAGACTTACATAAACCCTCATGTAGTTATTATAGTCTATTTTAAGCTCATAACAATTTCAAGTACACAAAAATTACTTTTACTGCCTCACTAGACTTTGTTACTGATTTCTCAATTTACATATTTTATACTGTATATTCATTACTATATTTTACAGTCAGTTTAAATATTTTAAACCTTTATATTAGAATTAAATGTGACTGCCGGGGATTTAGCTCAGTGGTTCTGGCACCTGCCTCGCAAGCACAAGGTCCCGAGTGTGATCCCTGGTACCAAAAAACAAAAAAACCTATTACACCACTACTGTAATATTAGTGCTCTGTATTTGCCTATAAATTAAACTTTACAAGTGAGTTTTATACTTTCACATGTTTGTATTTTTGTTTAGTGTCCTTGAGCTTCAACTTGAAGGACTTTAGCTTTTTTTTTTTTTGGGTACCGGGGATCACACTTGGGACCTTCAGGACCTTGCGCTTGTGAGGCAGGCAGCAGAACCACTGAGCTAAATCCCTGGCCCACTTTTTTTTTTTTTTTTTTTTTTTTCTGGAGTGGAGTTGATTGCCATACCACAGCAGTTGTAGGTGCCACTTTAGCATTTTTTAGAAGGTAGCTCTTGTGATGAATTCCCTCAGCCTTTTTCCAGGGAAGTCCTTATCTCTCCCTTCATTTTTGAAAGACAGTTTGCCCAAGTATAGTACTCTTAGTTGAAAATGTTCCTTTCAGCAAGTTGAATACTTTGTCTCATTCCCTTCTGGCCTGCAAGGCTTCTGGGGAGAAATCCAATGCTGCTTTCATAGAAGTTTCCTTGTACATGTCAAATCACTTTTCTTGCTGCTTTCAAAATTCACTCTTCATTTGGCTACAGTGTACTTCAGGGTGGCTTCTTTGAATTCTTATTTGCGATCCACTGGGATTCCTATACAGTATTTGGATATTCCTTTCATTTCCCAAACTTGGGATATTTTTAGCCATTATTTCTTTGAATAAGCTTTCCGGTCCCTTCTCTCTTCTCTTTCAGGATTCCAGTACTGCATGCATTGGTCTGCTTAATGGTGTCCCATGAGCCTCTTAAGCTATCTTTATTCTTTTTCTTTATTTCTTCATGTTATATCTCTGACTACATGATTTTAAAAGACCTTTGAGTTTGCTGATTTTTTATTCTTAATACAGTCTGTTGTTGAACCCGTTAAATTTATTATAGTATTTAGCTCCAACATTTCTATTTGATTCATATTAAAATTTTCTCTGTGTTGAAATTTTCACTTTGTTCATGAATTGTTCTCTTCAACTTTGAGGATCTTTGTGATGATTATTTTGGTATAGTTGCCAAATCATTCCTCTATTTCCATTTCATTAGGGTTGGTTTCTAAGCATTTTATCTTGTTCTTTTGTTTAGAACATGTTTCTCTGTCTTCATATTTTTTGCATTTCAGTGTTAGTATCTGTACATTAGAAAAAAATAAGATGGGGCCAGGGATTTAGCTCAGTGGTTCCACCGCCTGCCTCGCAAGCACAAGGTCCCAAGTTCGATCCCCAGAAAAAAATAAGAAATTACCCTAGACTCAGGGGCTGGTTTTGTATAAGAGAAGACCTCACCAAACAGCTCAGACAAAGATTGTTCAGGAATCAAATTCTGTGCTAAGCACACATATATGTATATATATTTATATATATTATATATATTCAAAGAAATAATGGCTAATATATAATATATATAAATATAAAATTTTTGTGGTACTGGGAATGAAACCCAGGAGCACTCTACCACTAAGCTACATTCCCAGCTCCTTTCTTTCTTTCTTTCTTTCTTTCTTTATTTTGAGACAGGGTTTTGCTAAATTTCCCAGCAGAACTTGAACTTGGACTCCTCTGCCTTGGCCTTTCAAAGTACTGGGGTTACATGCACATACAACAATGACTTTGTTCTTAGCAGTCCTCGGTCAAGTAGAGTCTATTGGGTCATGTTAGTGCTCTGAGACAGCAACTAGTCCCATGGGAAACCTTTAGAAAAGGATATTGGACACAGTCCAACTCTTCCCCTCCCAGGGGTAATGCGGGATCTGCAGTTTTTGCCTATTCATTTTGCACTGAGCTGAGTAGAGGGGCTATGGCAAATACTTATATGCTAGACTAAGTTGGTTTTTTCCTCAGAAATACATAAAGACAGAAGTCAGTCCCTCGGGCATCCCTCAGAAAATTCAGAACACTGGGTATATGATCCAGTCCTTTCCTTCCCCACAACCCTTAGGGAGAATACATGGGACCTGGGAGTTTCCTAACAGTTACACGATGCTGTGCCAGGGGCAGGTGTTATATAGTAATATGATATCTCAAACTTTCCTACTGGCTTCAAGGTGGCTAGTTTTATGCATTGCTAGGGTATAGGAGCCCTTCCATTAGTTTATGGATTTCTCACAAAGAATTAAATCATGAATTGCTGTTGAATCAGTGTATCCATGAGAAGATGGTCCAGGGCTACCTAAACTGACATCTTGCTGATATCATTCCCATATTATATTTTGTTTTGGCTTCTACTTTCAACATTAGAGGATTTTGTAACATTAAAGAATGATTTTTTGGTGATCCTTAGATCTCTGACCACATTTAAAAGGGAGACCTAAGAGCGTAAGTGTAATCCCTATGGCCTACAAAGGCCTTGTGACATAGTTAGCTTCACTGTACTGTTCTCCTGGGCAGTGTCACTGAGGGATTATGAAGGTCAATGTCTTTAGATATTTTATTTTGGACTGCTTCAGTTCCTCAGAAAATAATCTTCCATTCTTCTGTCTAATAGGTTTGTGTTTGGGTGCCAGTATTCTGGAAGGTGAGCAGAGAAATGAGGTGTTGGTTCAGGGTGGGAACAGGAGCAGTCCCCACAATTAGGATTTGTACTTTCATTTAATTCCTTTCCCTCCATGCTCAATACATATCTGCACCAGTCAGCTTTTGCTGTAAGCAACCCTCAAATCTCAGTGGCACAAAACAAAAAGCATTTGTTGTTCTATGTCTACTCGTTGGCTTCCGGTTACAGGTCTTGAGCGCCTCTGTGCAGTCTGCAGGTTGCCTGGGGTTGATCTTTTTTTGTGCCTCTCATTCTGGGATCTCTCAAGAGGAGCAGAAGCCAGTTAAGATGTATTTTTCTCATAGTGATGGCATAAGTAAGTACAGGAGGATAATTCATCCATGTAAGTACATTTCAAAGCTTTTCTTTGGTTCACTGATATCCTACTCCCCACAGTAAATTACCTGGCAACCCTCAAAGCCAAAGAGTATAAAATTACTACAGAAGAATGAATAATTAGGACCAAAATTTCAAAAATCTCACCATATCCCTGCTATCAATAGGGCCTAGCATCTTCTAGTTCATAGTCCTTTTCAAAACATACCAAAGAATAAGTCTAGAGGTTCCCTTGGAGTAGGAAAGAAGCAGTCATCACACCTGCCATGTTTCGACATACCTTTTTAGAAGTATTTGACGCAGCCAAATTGTAAGATTTTCTGAGATATTATGGTGTAAACTGGCTTATTTGTGTAGTATTCACACTGTTGATTTAAGATTGAGCTTTCTGCTATATCAAACCATCTGATCGCTAGCTTTCCAAACTTTATACTTTCTTCCTTCATATTTACTTTGTCCTTATGGGTTTATTTTTTTCAGAAAGAAAAAGAAATGAAGAATCCACTTTATGTCACTGCAGAAAGTTGTAAAGTATGCATTCAATTTGCCATCACCAACAAATACTCTATTTATAAGTATAGTAAATGGTAAACTATTAATTTGTAGATGTGACCAGTTAATATTTAAGTTATGTGCTGAAAACCAAGAGAAGTACATGAAATAAAAGATAACCCATAGCTCTTGAGAAGTTTACATTCATTACATACAGAATTGATTAATAATTGGGTGTGTATTACATATCAGTGCTAAATGAGATTATTTTCATCCTTCCCTGATCTATAGGAAATTGCTCTGCAGTTCTATGTGACTACCCATGGAACACAGTGGTAGTGGTCATGGAAGAGAGGTGTTAGTAAAGAAGAGAAGTATGTTTTCTTAAAAGGAACACTTACTCATTGGAGAATTTGTGTATAAAGAAACAGTTTATATAATGAAGCAAATTAAGCTTGAAATTATATTCTCACCCAAATAATTTGATCCTCTGAACAGTTCAGGTGACGAAAAGCTACTTAAATTTTCTTCAACACTGTTGAATTCTGTGTAAGACTCTGTGACTGAATAGCTCAGAAGAGAACTGGAAATATCATGTTGTAAACTTGGTCCTATAAAATAGAAAACCAAATAGAAAGGGTAAAGTATCCCAATATAGACTTGAAATCATAAGAATTCAAATTTATAGAAATGTACATGCAGCTGTATACTAAGACGTAAAAAATTGCTTCTCCATACAACTGCAAAGGCATCATGTTACAAACTATTTTCATTTGAATCTTAGAAAATAATTGTTTTGCCGGGGATTTAGCTCAGTGGTTTCACCGCCTGCTGCACAAGCGCAAGGATCCGAGTTCGATCCCTGGTACCAAAAAAAAAAAGAAAATAATTGTTTTGATGTTAATAAAATGTATTATAATCTTTTTCTATTGTTTTTCAAAGTTTTAAGACTTACTCCTTTTCTTTTGGTTCAGTTGTGACTCGGCTCACAAATTCAAGTTCCATACATAAATGATTCACTAATGCAAGCTCATCAGCTAAGGAAAGGAAAAGGTGAGTCTAGTTATTTCATTCAGAAAAAAAAATGAGCCTACACAAACAGATAAAAGGAACGGAACAGATAGATCAATATTAGACTCACACATATACGAGCAATTTATTTTTTTCCCTGGTACCAAGGATCAAACTCAGGACCTTGCACTTGCGAGGCAGGCTTGGTGCCACTGAGCTCAATCCCTGGCACCAGCAACTGATTTTTTATCAAGATGTAAAGGCAATTTAGTAGAGGAAGTATAATTTTTTTTACAAACTGTGCTATAACAACTGGTTATCTATGTGAAAAACAAAACAAAAATCTACTTTCCATCACACAAAAAATTAACTCTAAACAGATCATAGCCCTTAAAGTAAATCCTAAAACTAACTAACCCTTGGTCCCTCACCTCACCAACTTTTTCTTCGAGTCCAACCCCTCTGTTAAAAATGACAACCTTCTCAGCTGTCAGAGGTAGGTTATTCCTGTAGGGATCCTTTGCTACCTCTACTGTAAATGCCCTAAAGCAGTGGTGGTGAACCTTTAGAGACCCAGTGCCCAAACTGCAACTCAAAACCCACTTATTTATCACAAAGCGCCAACACTGCAACTCTACCTGAATACTGAGATTTTAGTTAAAAAAAAAAAACTCATACATTAACATCTTTTGTCTTAAAAAACACAGTAACACACATGTCACAGGTTCACCACCACTGCTGTAAAGTAACCTGTCCCTGTCCTTGCTACCTTTTCATTTCTCCTTCTGTCTTCACCCTTCCTACTTAAACCTGTCTTGCCTTCCATCTCTCAAAATTTCTTGAATACCATTCACAGCAGAGCTATCCCTTCCACCAAGTCCTAGAACTCAAACCAGGCTCAGAAATAAGGAAACCCAGCCGGGCCGTGGTAGCACACGCCTGTAATCCCAGCACTCAGGAGGCTGAGGTAGGAGGATTGCCTTGTGCTGGAGGCCAGCCTGGGCTCCAGAGTGAGTTCAAAGCCAACCTGAACGACACAGTGAAACCCTGTATTCACCATCTGGGGAGTTAGGTAGAGAAAAAAATAAATAAATGTTCATGTTGTATGAGTACGAAGTTGTTCCTGGGATTACAAGTTAGAAACGTAAATGAGCTTAAAATTATATTTTATCAAAATATACATTTTTAAAAAGCCAAATAGTTCCACAAGTTTACAACAAAAACTGCAATCTCTTACCTCATAGCTATCCATCACAATTCTCTAGTTTCTAGAGACTACAACTTTCAACCTACTTTCTTTCATTTCCTTTATATTTCTAAATTAAATGAATTTAACATTTCTATTGTGACTGTTCAAATATATTCAGTTGATTCACACTATGAACTATATTCATAACTTATTGTCACGTTTTTCTTTTTCCTTTGAGTAATTTATTACCTAATTTTAAAATTAGTTTTCTAAGTACTGACCACTATTTCATCTCAGCTTTTTGCAAAAATATAAATCTCCTCTCAATAGGTTAAAAAAATCAAGCTTATCGCTCCATTATTTTTTCCCTGCCTTCCCCTCTTCTCTTGTTTTTCCTTCTACTCTTTTTCTCTTTCTCCCTTCTGTTCATATTTTCTTTTTCTCTTTTTGTTAAAGAAGTATTGCTACTGAAGATCTTAATTCACTTGTGGAAATTTAGGTTGGCTAAATCTCAATATGCTACACAGACGTCTTCTGATTTATTATTATCCTAACAAATTCTTTCATATATTTCCTGCATTAAAATCTTTGATTTCTGGATCTCATGATTTCTTCTTTATTTTCTCCCTGCTTTCCTTGGAGCATTTTCTTCATTTTCTGAGAAAAGGTGCATAAATCTAACATTTACCTTTTTTAATATTTTTTGTCTTTTTCTTGAAACAATAAGCTTTAATACAATGATTAATAACAAGGTGGCACCACTATGGAATTGAACAGATAGTTGCTGGGCTGAGTTCCTGCAGAGGTATATTTTGTGTAAAGTTACTGTGGCTTTTGTGCAGGATTGTGGTTTGGGGCAGAGTCTTTGTGATAATTACCGTCAGACAGTCATGACTTGTTGTTAGGATTGACACGAGACTCCACTTTGATTCTGATAACGTTCATAGTATTGACAGTAAATATGAACAATTAAGAGTGTTTAGGGCCGGGGATTTAGCTCAGTGGTTCCACGGCCTGCCTTACAAGCGCAAGGTCCTGAGTTTGATTCCTGGTACCAAAAAAAAAAAAAAAAGTGTTTATGCTATTTCTGCCCATCTGGCTATTATTGCTTGGTTCTCTGTTTGAGTAATGACATAATGAGCAGGAGTTGGAAACTTTTACTAGCATACTATGTATATCCTTTATAATATTCAGACACACAACTTCCTTCTATCAATTAGTGACATATACTTAAATATGACAAAGATTTTCTCCTTGCATAAACATTAGTCAGGTTCCACTAAGCCTTCTAAGCTTCGACATTGGCCTTCATCCTTGTCAGGTCTGAATTACTCAGTTATAGCAAGAATTGTGCTAAGTCTGTTTACAGAAAACCTCCCACTCCTAATATTGGGTCATATTTTTCATCCTTTACCCTTGGCATCAGATTATATGCCATCCCCATATTCCTTCTTAGTAATTTTCTACCCACTGATCTCCTACTCTGTTTCGGCTATAAATCCTCACTTGCCAAGGTTTCTTTTCCTCTATTGCAAGTTTCTAAGTATAAACTGTTTCTATCACTTTACTGCCCAGTTTTGGTTTTATTTAACAATATCATCTTAAAGTATAAGTTTAAGTAGTCTGAAAAATCCAAACAAATACCTACTAGGTACCATTTCTATGTTAAGCAGTTATATCAGTCACAGACTAATCAGGAAACAATTGCTTTTAGCTAGCGTTTTCTTTATACTATCTTCACACCTGAATGACAGTTTGGTTGGGTACAGAATTCTAGATTAGTATGTTCAAGAAACTGACTCTATAGTTTGGTGTATGCCAGCTTTTAAACCTCACCTTTCCGTCTTCACTTTCTGCCCTACATCTGGGAAAGCTGACAAAAAAAGTCATAGTGCTCCACCTTTTGGCAATGGTTCTAAGTTCAAAGCACATATGGGAAACTGCATCCCAGTTCCACCAGCTAACCACAAGAACCCCAGGCAAGTCTCCCTTCCCTGCCTTCTCCAGCATTTTCAGGACAGCATAGGAGCCATCCATCTTCCTGGAAGCCTCAATGTATGAATAATAAATCTTTCCATACCATCTTGGTGCGTAGATGACACTGTCAGTCTTGAAATTCAAATCAAATTTTGCGGGGGGGGGGGGTTCGTCCTGCCTGTGCAAAATCAGTTTTCTTCAAAATTTTAAATGCATGCCATCATGTTCTAGAGTCTTCTTAAGAGTTGGCTTTTTGAACAGCAATCCAATGTTTTAGATGCTTTTTTTTTTTTCAGGGCTGCTCTACCACTGAGCTATATGCCCAGCCCTTTTTATTTTTTGAGACAGGGTCTTGCTAAATTGCCCAGGCAGCACTTGAACTTGCAATTCTGATTCTCCTGCCTCAGCCTTCCAGAGTGTTGGAATTACAATCATGTGCCCAGCTCAAGGTCATCATACTCTTGATTGCTTATTTGCAACTGATTTTTTTCTTTTCTGGAAGACTGAAGAAAATCTCTCTTTACTTGAATGATTTTCAAGGGATGCAATGTTGTGCCTTGGTGTGGATCTTTTTCATGTACGGAGACAGCGTAAGTGGTTTATACCATCGGAACTTGGCTCTCCACATCTCCATTCTTATTGCGCAGAATCTGAAAGGCTTTTTCAATATGTATGCTCATGATTATTTTTAATTCTAAAAACATTTCTAGTTTCATGTGTTTAATAATTTCCTTTGTACTTATTCTATAATGTTGGGAGCTACTATTTTTCAGATTTTAGAATTCTTAGACTCACCTTCTAATTATTTTTAAAGTAAGTTTTATTTAGACATAATATGCCACTTAACCTTTTATAGTAAAATTCAAGGGTTTTTATATATATTCACATAATTGTGCCATCACTGCAACTATTTTTACCTTTTCTTTGATGTCTGTTCAATTATCTGGATTGTTTCCTTAAATTTATCATCTAATTCTATGGGATATTTTATTTTTTATATTTTCATCGTTTAAAAATTCTTTTTGTTCTCTACTTCTTTTTATAATAGCCTGGACTTGTTTCATATGGAAACAACTTCTTGAGTGTATTAACAAAATTATGTTTTTCATTGCCTATGTCTTTCAAGTTTCTTTTTATTTAGTATCTATCTTTTATTTTAAATGTGTACTTCAAATACATGGTAATTCTTTAATGTTAAAAATTAGGCCCTAAAATGACATCATAAATGGGGCCCAGGAAGAGCTGGGCGTAGTGAAGGGTACTTAAGGAATAGGCTATTACTGCCACAATACAGGTCTTCCTGTCAGACAAGTTTCCACAGGAACAATCTTCCAATCTACTTGGGGATATATGCCTGAGAGAGACAAGGGGTCCCGGGGCTTCACCACTAAGTACACAGACTTTCAATTAACTCCTTTGCCTCTCTTGCCAGTGCTAGTTTTCAGTACAGTACCCCTGCCCTGGGTAGTATGCAGCATCTCTGAGTCCAGTTTCTTTACTTCAATGTCCTTGGAGTGCTGGGGTGGGCAGAAGGGTAGCTGCCTTACTACAAATGTGGATCAAAGCACTTAACTGTCACTAGTAAAGATTCCCCAAAGCCTTATTTTCAACACTATCACCCATTTCTTCAGGTATATGTGATGCCTCTAATCCCTCAACCTACAGTCTAAGTCAGTTCCTTGGTCTGTCCCTTCTCTAGGAACCTAGCTTTTAGCCTCCCAGGTTAAATCTATTATAATCCATTCATCTACCTTCTAGACTCCAAAACTTCTTATCTCCTCCTCACCTATGGATTCACAACTTTTGAGCGCCTTTATTGATATTTTAGAGGATCTTCAGAAAGGAGGAATAAATGCTAGTGTTCAATTTTCCACAGTAAATATGAAATCCTGAATTATTTCTTCAATAAGCTACAAAATTACTAGATTCTACTTTGCTTGGGAGTAGTTTTCAGGTTTTATCCTGGTAGCAGGCACTGGTAGCTGCCAGTGTTTCTAATGTAAGTAGGTGATGAGGAGAAAGGGATGAAATATTTCAAATGTACAGTAGTTTTTAATCCATCATCTTGACAATTCCTTCAGGGCCCCTTCACTATAGAGTTCTTTGACCAAGAGTTTGGAGTTATCTCTAGTGATACTCTTACCTCTGCTTTTGATATATTCATCAATTCAATCTCATCTGCTTTTAAGTTCCTCTGTATTTCTGTTGTACTAATAGCATTCTTTCTCATTTTCAAAAATAACTTCAATTGTACCAATATGTGGATGGCTCAAAAATTCCTCTCATTAGCCCTCTATCCTCTTCCTGTCTGACATTGGTAGTCATCTTAAAGACACTCATAACTTCTAGCTACAGTGATCATATCATTCCCTATTTGAAAGACTTTCACAGCTTCCTTCTGCTCTGAGGGTAAATATCAGTACCTTTGACATGGACTATAAGGTTATGCAAAACCTCTACCTGGCTGTCTAAGCTTGTCTTATAATCAATCACATTTTCTCCTACTCTCTGTACTCCAGTTACCCTGGCCTTCTGTCACTGAACATGTACTGATTACTCCCATGGTTACGTCTCTGCACATACTGTTTCCCCTGCCTAGATTTCTCTTCACTCATCTAAGTATCTTTTTTTAAAGTTCACATGTTTTATATATATATATTTTGGTACCAGGGATCGAACTCAAGACCGTGTGTTTTTGAGGCAGTCACGGCACCACTGGGCTAAATCCCCAGCCCCTCTCTTCACTCATCTCTTTGCATCATTTCTACTCTCAGATCTCAAATCAACTGTCATTCGCTCATGGAAACATTCCTTAATCTCTCTAGCTAAATTCAATTCATTATACTCAACTCAATCTCCTTTTTATAACACTCATTATAATTATAACTTCACATTTATTAGTGCGTGCTTATAGGTTTTGAGGACAAAGTCTAGAGCATGGTCAGAGGAATTCACGTTGGACTAGGTTAAAGACACCTAGGGTAAAAGATACACATGGAAGCTTATGTTTGGAGGAAAGAGAAAGCCAAGGGAGTTCATATCCGACACTCTTACCTGATACTAGCTCACTATCTGATGAACTACTGTCAACCTGGAGGTCATCAGTCACTGACTCCTATGTGGAATAAGAAAGAGCAAAAATCATGAGATCGAATATTTTCATATCACATTGGTTATTTGGAGAATGAAAAACTAATGTCACCTTTGTGTATCAGTTTCATACCCATAATAGATTGTTTTAGCTAACTGATCACAGATTGAACCTGTTATTTAATAGTAAATCTACAAATAATTAAAACAATACTATGAACATGTTCTGGGAATCAACAATACACTGTACTAGCTAACCCAGTGCTGTGAGATAAACTAGTAAGTAAAAGATAAAGCTGAATATTTTTCTGATCATTTAGGAAGGTTTTTTATCTAAACATAAAGGCAAATAAATTAAAAGATTGATAGATAAGTCTAAAACCAAAAGATGCATAAACAGATAAGGAAAAATATAATGGGCAGATATTTCACGCATGAAAAAAGAAATACAAATGCCCAATAACTTAAGAAAAAAAAGTACCAACTTCACAATCATTCAAAGATATGGAAAATAAAAACAACATGCTACTTTTCACCTATGAAGGTGAAAAGTTTTGGGTAAAACAGTGCTGATTTGCCAACATCAATCAAAAACTTGAAATACAATCCACCTTTTGACCCACTGCAAAGCATGTATTTCATGGTAACAATGTGAGATGCGCACACACACACAGACACACACACACACACACACACAGAACTTCCGTAGCATGGCTGTCTATTGGTATCTACAACGGCCATACCTTGGAAGCAGTGTTTCCCAGCCTCAGGAAATAATTATACAAAGTACAGTGTATCTGTCTATAAGTCAAATCACTAAAAATCATATTTTTGAAGACTTTAATATTTGGGAAATATATAATAACAACTTATAAAATGTTTTAAAAGCACAGAAAAAAAAGGAAATATGCAAAAGAATAAACTTTTAAAATGATGTTTTGCATGGTAGAGCCATCTACAAGGAACACTTCACCATGTAGTTAAAATATGGGTAAAAGCCTTTTTAAAAAATGTTTATGTTGTAACTGGCAGCCTTCAAAAACATGTTATAGTAGAATCTATAAGCTAAAACTCTAAAACTTGACTATCAAGTTTAATGTTAGTGTCACAGGCCATAATTTTTAAAAATGAGTTTCCCCAAATTACTACTGTACGGCTGTAAAACAGCATACAGAATTCATATTAAATATATCACATCAAGAGCGGGGATTCAGCTCAGTGGGTGCCACCACCTGCCTCCCAAGCACAGGATCCCGTGCTTGCAAGGCTGGCAGCGGAACCACTGAGCCAAACCCCCAGCCCGAGGTTATATATTCTAATGAATAAATATTGAAATACCCTGTAATATACCAGACAGTAATGAATGTTTCCAGTGGTTAACGGAAAGTCAAATGGAAAAACGTTAAAATGGCTTTAAAATGTTTAAGTGGTACCAAAACATAAAGGAGTTTAAGTTTTAAATCTGTCACAGAAAATTAGTAACATACACTTCTCCAGCACTTTAAAGAAAAAAAGTGAAACTGCATAGCTATGTATCTACCCATTAGAAATTCAAGGTCTTCCTAAGGACACGTCAGTGTCTACAAAAATACTAGAAAGCTATGCAGTTTCTATTGAACAAAAGCCATTTTATTTTTTCACCTGGAGGCACATCAGCTACTGTACATCTCTGTAAGTAACCAAGGACAGAAATATACATACGCTCAATGGAGCAATCTCATTCTGGGTCTCTTCGCAAGGGTTACTTTCTTGCAGACTTTTCTCTCCTGTATCTTTCAACTGAGGGCTAACAAACAAACAACACAATTAGTCTGCACCATCTGGACTTGACTCTCCATGTCTGTCTATACTCTGGAATTTGTAAAGATTCAAGGAGAAGGATCAGATATCTACACCAATACCCAAATTACGCTACGAATGCTGGGCAGGTCCTCCCCTCCCCCAACCTTTTTAATTAGCCACTGAGCTACATCCTCAACCTCTCCATAAAAATTCTGAAAAACAAACAAAAAAACAACCTTCAGGAGGCACAGGGACACATGCTTTTAATTCCAGCAGTCTGGGAGGCTAAGCTGGACGATCTCAAATTGGTGCCCGGCCTAGGCAATTTAGCGGTTTTGTGAAAGCCTAGATTCAATCCCTAGTTGTTGTTCTTTTAAAAATGTGAAATCAAACCGTAGGTCTATGTTCTAAGAAGAGTGAGGCGAGAGTATTCTACTCATTTTCTTTGTTGATTCATAATTAAGAGAAGCTACAAAAAGAAAGCGAAAGTGGAAGTTTTCTGAGAAATAAGCTAAGCTGCCTGGGGCTGTTACTTCTGGCTACGCACCTTGGCAGCTCAGAGCCGCTACCTCCCAGCCTGCCCCACTCAGCTTTCTCAGCAATCTTTGACAAACCGCGCTCTTTGCCTTTTCCCTTCGGGCCTGCGAAAGGGCGGCACGTTGGAGGGCAGCAGCCCTGGAAGCCCGCTCACCAGCCCCGGGGATCTCTGGGTCCAGCCACCCACGGGCCCGCAGCCCGCCCCGGGCACGCCCCGCAAAGCGATGGGGAAGCCTCGGGCCCCGACCTGGCCGGGCCTCGGTCGTCGCGGGCGGGCCTAGGTCTAGCGTCGGTGTGAGGTTGAACCTCTGGCCCGCCCGCTTCTTGCGAGGGTAGACTCGCAGCGGCCACAACGCCATCCCACCCCCAGGCCTTGAGACCCGCTGGGCCCTCAACAGTCTGTGTGGTCGCCTTCCTGAGGAACCCTGGCAGAGAGACACGACCCAGGCGCGGCGGAGAGACAGCTCCACTGACACTAGAAGGCGAAAGGCAGGACCCCCAGGACTGGCGCCTTGGGCCGCGATCCCGCCTTTTTTACCCGAGCGAGGCCGCGCGGGGGCTTCTGGGAAGACGCCGAAACAGGGCGGCGGCCCCGCCCCCTAGAGGTGGCCCCAACCTAGGAAGCCCCGAGCTAGGCCGCAAAAGATTTTTGTTTTTCTGTCCAGGAGGTTACTTTACGTTTGGCTTCCTTGTTAGTCCGATAGGCCCAACAGCTGCAACTGATGCCTCCACTGTTCTCGTCAGCCCTGCATAAGGCCTTAGATCTCAGCACCGGGCAGCAGGCTAGGGTCAGCCTCAGTACAGGGAGGTCAAAGAGGAATGGGATCAGTTTCAGCTCCAGTTTACTGGGAGGATGTGGTACTTGAGAATCTAACCAAGCTTTCCAAAATCTTGGGCTCCAGGAAACCTCTTCTCAGGGACAAACACAGTCCCTTAGCCTGTGCCGGCCTCCTGGACATCTGGGCACCCTTGTGGTCAAGTCAGAAGGTTTAGGAGGCTCTGCCTTGGCGCTCAAATCTGGCCTGCCAATTGAACAGAAATAGGAATAACTTCCCTTTCTCTCCATACACCCGGTTGGAACAATTTAGCTGTATGTGATAAGCATAAGGCACGTGTAACACTAGCCATCTTATTTAAAAAATAGTATTTCACATCATTAAAAAATGCAGTCTATAGAAATGAAATTACAAAAAGCTTAGAGATGTTTCTGTAAGACCCCAATATTATGTGTGAATGTAAGCACATATATATATCCACTGTATTTTCATAATAAATCACTCCGAATGTTTTAAATTTAAAATCTGCTCCTAGAAACATTTATGACAATTTAACATACAGTGAATCATCAAAACATAACTTTATAAAGAACAGAGGGCAGGTGTTCTTGCTTGGTGTTTTAGATCACTACAGAAAGTGCCAGGATTAGAGCCAAGGCTGCACGGAGAAGATGCAGAAGAGATACTAGTGCCTGTATGCAGAATCAAGGAGTCTGAACTTTATTCTGGAAACCATGGGAAGTCACCGAAGGAATAGTAAACAGGAAAGTGGTGTGACCAGATTTTTAATTCAGAAAGATTGCCTGGCTGAAATGTGGGTGATGAAATTTGAGAAAGCTAAAGTGGGAACACGAAGACTATTGAAGTAAGCATTGTAATATTTTGGATAAGAGATCTGGGTGGTGCGAATTATAGGAGTCACTTTGAGAGTAGAGAGGAATTGACTATAGCAAATACATCGCAGGTAGAGAAGGCAGAATCTGCATAACTTAGCCATGGCAGAATGCACCATTTTACCAAAGTGTACCCACTAATTTGTACATGACTAGAAGACAAGGAAATGTTGTAATAGCTATCATGATGGAATTGAATCATCATTTGTTCTTTTAAAAGTATAAAATTTAGGGCTGGGGATTTAGCTCAGTGGTTCCACTGCCTGCCTCAAAAGCACAAGGTCCCGAGTTCGAGCCCTGGTACCAAAAAAAAAAAAAAAAAAAATCCAGGACGTATTTGATGACAGAGTTCCAGCAGAAGCCTTAGCAAAGGAGCGCCTCTAGATGCATGATAAGACTAGAGTTTGGGGAGACTCGGAGAGGATGTAGGAGATATGAAGTGTGCTGGCTGGCGACACAGCTTGATACTCTGGCAGCACGAGCACCACAGTTGTTGACTACCACATAGATTCCCATCGAGGAATTACGTTATAAAAATAGTGATTATAAGCAACTTTGAGAAATGAAAAATCTTTATTTTTTACAAAAGTTTTCATAAATGCATTTTATATTTGATATGCGTGCTATTATAACAAAGCAAATGAAAATATAATTACAGTTAAGATAATTTATGCATTTTAAAAATATTTTAATCCCCTCAATTTTCAAAAATTGAAAGTAGAATAAGCAATTCTTCAAAAATATCTATTTTCCTCCATGCAATCATTGCAATGATTTAACAAGGAAAATTAAAATACTAGCCGAACGGATGCTTAAATGCAACTATCACCTCATGAAAATCTTTTCCACTTGGGACCAGGCATGGAAATGTTTGTATTCCAAGTATCTATTGCCTCTGTGTTCCGACAGAATTAATGTGTTCTCACTGAAGAGTTGAGGTTTGGTTCTCTCTTGCATGCTAATTTCATTCTTACTGTAGCTGATTGTAGACTCACAGACAGGAATATGTAGCATACTTGAGAGAAAATTTAAGACTACTAGGATCCTTTTTTCTTTTGATTTAAATACTTCCCTAAAAAAACTTGCAAGAAAATATAGCCAACTTATAATTTACCAATTTTACACGATCATTCATTCTTTTTTTTTCCTGAGATAAGCAAGTTTGCAATTACTCTTTTCATGCAAAAATACATTTTCCCATTCTTTACATTCATATTATAATATTTTGTATTGTAAATAACTATCACATTTGTGCTTTATACAATTGGAATATAAAGAATAATTCATTTTCTTTATGACAGAAAAATAAAAGATCATTGGCTCTTTGATGGGCAATACAATCAAAATAACTGCTGATTTCAAGTTGCTGAAACATTACCTGATTGTAAAAATCCCAGCGGAAACTTCTGGTCTTTTTCATGCCTGTAATTTTACCTAAAGTTAGAGTGATAGAGTGACTATGTATGAGGGAGAGACATGGTATATTTAATCCTGGACTTTTGAGTTTGAGATCCTAAACATGGAACTAGACCTATGTGCTACATCAGCCAGAGTCTCCACTCCTGTCTGGAGGGGAAAACTCAAAAACTACAGAGACATCTTTTATGGCAAAAGGAAAATAAACTGATGTATATTGTTTTATACACAACAGGATTAGTTTGCAAAATGTGAGTTACTGACATACTTTAATTAGAAATAAGAAGGCCAAACATTTAAGAATATATGCTTAAGGAACTAATTTTCTGTTATTCCTCTAAAGTTAAACAGGCTCCAACACCCAATGTGAATATGACTTTTAACTATATAGCCTTTTTCTATACTGGTTAAAGAGAAACACAAGTTTTTCCCTCCTCAAAAATATAAGGTGGGGAAATCTGAGGCAAGGTAGATTGTTTCATTATATATCCTTTCATTTCTCCTTCATTATGAAATTAAGTGGACTTAGAGGACTAGATAAATGTATATGCAGTACGTTTAGGGTCTACCATTTACTCTTTCAGCACATCTGCACTAACCCATTTATTGGCCCACATGTTATAATTTCCACACAGATCAGGAAATCTAGTAGAAACAAGATCTTTTCTGCGACAAAAAGAAATCTTAAGTTGTCCACAATTGATCATAGCTAATTACTACGAGGTATAAATAAAATCAAAATAAGTTTTAAATCATTTGCTTGAATTACATTGTTCAAAATTCTTTTGGAATCAAATCCAAGTATGAACTTTTAGTCAAGTGGAAGTACAGTGGGAAACAATTTCTTTTTTCTGAAATGTGAAGACACTTGCCCTTAAAATAGTATATGGTTTTCACTTTTAATTGATCAAATAGGTATTATTTTAAAAACCAAAGCAATACTTATTTTAAGTGTTTAGTTAAAATGCCTTTAAAAATCAATGTGCATAAAACCAGCTCATTTATTAAATGTCAAATTTATAAATGTAATCATAGGTCTTCAGAGATACTATATCTAGGTATTATGTAAAAAGTTGAACAAATATATCAAATGAAGCTGTGGTCCACTTTTGACAAGACTGAAATGGGAGTGTGTAATTATTGGTGCAGATTCATCCAATAGGCCCGTGTGGCTCAGTCTGGACTTCCGCCAGGGAAAGGAGCTCCTGCACTGTAACACTGAGCACATACATTTTGATTTAACACCTGAATTGCGTGTGAATTGCTTATGTGCTTGCAGACTTCTGTCCCTGTAGAAGAAAAACCCTTTCCTAGGGCCCAAGCCTTCTTTGGTGTACCACGTCTAGCTTGGAACTGAATTGCTGACCGTGATATTACAACTTGAATTATTCAAATTCCTGGCACCCAGGTATAGGTTGTGTTTATGCAGTGCTAGAAACCAGGGTTTTAGGGTTCATCTTCAGCGCATTTGAAGATTGTAGGAGTGAAATTATGCCATCAGCAGGTATTTCTCTATGATGGACCTATAAAGTTTTCTAGGGCCATTTTAAAAATGATGTTATTGAAAAATTATTTTCTTTGGAAATAACAGCTAATCTTCCCCACATCCTGCCTTGATAGTCATACTGAAAGAATATGAAGTTGTTCAGAATTACAGTCATACTGGGTTTCCCAGGTCCAGCATGAACATCTTGAGAATGGAAGAGAGAAAGACCTCCACAAGGAACATTAATTGCTGCCCACTCTGAGAAATAGCTCTGAATTTCTTCTAAGTCTTCCCCAGAGTCAATTCATTATAGAGCCAAGAGACATCTTTTAGAATTCATTATGGTAAGAAGTCCAGGAATATATGCATACTGTCCTCAAATAGTTTTACATTACGTTTTGGTAGGTAGTTCCTGAATATTTTCATGATATTAATAAATGAGAAAATGTATTGAAAGATCTTTGTAAGTTGTTGTATAAATATAACATATTTTAAGAATATCTGAATTTGCATTTTTCATCAATAAAAGCAAAAATCAGGAAACTTTTCACATCAATAAGGATTGTCATTTTTAAAGTCATTAGAGTGAATTATCGTGTTTTATTTTAACATGATTCTGTATACCTTGTTTTAATTTTTAAATCTGATTTAATTGTGATTTTAACAATCAGTTATTGAATGAAGTAGCCCACATTGCCTAGATATTTGCCATATCTGGTTATTATCCTACAAATAATTAAGTACAATATATCAGTTGTTTTTCCATTATGTTTAATAGGAGTTTCGTGAATATTGAGAATATATTACTTTTAGTGGTACCCAGTTCTTGAGAAACTGTCTTGATTTTTTACATTGCCATTTGTGATGTTTTTTAGCAGCTTTCTACAATATCATTTTAATAAAAATAAAGTGTACTCAGTGATGATAGAGAAAATATTGTTAAGACCTCTTGGGACAG